CATCCATCCATCATCCATCCATCATCCATCCATCATCCATCATCCATCCATCCATCATCCATCCATCCATCCATCATCCATCATCCATCCATCCATCATCCATCATCCATCCATCATCCATCATCCATCCATCCATCATCCATCCATCCATCCATCATCCATCCATCATCCATCATCCATCCATCATCCATCCATCATCCATCCATCATCCATCCATCCATCATCTGCTGTAGCAGGGGCTCAGCTCTAGGTTGGATGTGGGGCTGTCCCTGCAGCTCAGGGCTGACACAGGGACTCACTGGTCAGTGTGGTCAGAGCACTGATACCAGAGGTTTTGGGGACTCACCGGTCAGTGTGGTCAGAGCACTGATACCAGAGGTTTTGGGGACTCACCGGTCAGTGTGGTCAGAGCACTGGTATCAGAGGTTTTGGCTCTGTAGATGAGGAGAGGGCCGGACAGCGGGGCTGGCTGCTTGAAGGTGGCCCCATTGATCTGCTGCAGGACCGGGGTGCTGCCCTGCACCGTCCCTGTCACCTGGTGTGGGGTGCCCTGCAGGGACACCTGCAGCACACCGGTGCTGCTGTCGGGCTCAGGGGCCACATCGCTGTGGGTGGTTGTGACCTGCCAGAGAGACACGGCCCCTCAGTGCCCAGGTCCTGTGGCTGGGGCGGGGATGTCCTCGGAAGCACCCCAGGGAAATCCCAGCCTCAACGCTGCATTAGCAGCATGGGAAGGTGTCCCCAGGCTCTTGCTGCTTGGTGGGGAAGGTGCACCAGGCTGTGGTGCAGAGCACAGATGTCCACACACCTTCAGCCCAGCCTCCTGGGCCAGCAGCGTGGCGTTCACCAGGGTCACCTCCTTCTGTGTCCCTCCAGCCAGCATGCCCGCGGCCACAGCAGGTGTCAGGTAGCTCCCAGCCTCCTTCAGGGCTGTCCCTGGGGTGCAGGGAGATGTGCAGGAGTCAGCAGCAGAGAGGTCAGGCCCACAGTGGAGTGTCCAGCCTGGGGCTGGTCCTTCCACCCACCCAATCCATCCACCCATCTATTCCTGCACGTTCTAGGGCTCCAATCCCACTGTTAACCACCTTCCTGTCTCTCTGTTCTCCTGCCTGCCCATCGGGGTGCCCACACCCAGGCTCACCTAGGGTGCAGACCTGCACGCTGCCCTGCACTTGCTTGCCCGCCGCGCACAGCACCGTGCCCAGGGCCCTGGCCAGGGTGATCCAGGGCTTGGTCTGGGGTGCAAAAGCCTTGCTGAGAGCCTGCCCATTAACCTGGGGGAGAGAGTGAGCGGTGAGAGCCTGCCAGGGGTCCCACACGGAGCACGGCACCCACGGGTGATAGCTGGGGCAGCTGAGGCACGGGGCTCAGGTGCTGCAGGGGGACTCACTACACCAGTCAGCCCCTTCCCCGTGGCCATGTCCACGATCTGCATGGCGATCTCCTTGCCGCAGCGGCTCTGTGCCTCCCGTGTGCTGGCGCCCAGGTGTGGGCAGGAGATGACGTTGGGGTGGTTCACCAGGTCACGGTCCTTTGGGGGCTCCTGCGGACACAGTTCCATCCTGCCATCAGCTCCCAGCCGAGAGCTCGGAGCGGGGGGAGTTTACCCCACCTCCTCCCCAAGGAGGGAACCTGAGGAGGGCTGCTCCTGGTCCCAGCCCCACAGGCTTTACTAGGCTGCCCTGCCCTGCTCTGGGCAAAATGAAGGTGGTGCTGAGCCAAAGCCAAGCTCGGGGGGTCCCCACAGCCCCGCTCACCTGTGTGAAGACATCGAGGGCGGCCCCACCACACTGCCCCGACTGCAGCGCCCGCAGCAGCGCGCCCTCGTCCACGATGCCACCGCGGGCACAGTTCACCACCTGCACGCCACGGCGGCACTTGGCAAAGGTGCTGTCGTTCAGGAGCCCTGCGGAAGGAGGGCTGTGAGCAGAAGGGGGCTGCCCCAGCTCTCCCCAAACCTCCCCTGTGGTCGTGCCCACTCCATACCCGTGGTGGAGGGCAGCAGCGGCGTGTGCACCGTGATGAAGTCGCAGCGGGGCCAGATCTGCTCCAGCGGCAGCTGCTCCACACCGAAGGTGGCTGAGACATCGGGAGTGATGATGGGATCGTAGCCTATGGTCTGAAGCAGGGTGGGCACTCACTCTCACAGCCTGGCACGGCGCCTCTGACCAGGTCAGGAAGGTCTGTGCTCCCCATCGCTCCTCCCTGCCCTGTCTCCTCACCTTCATGCCAAAAGCCTGCATGCGAGTGGCCACCTCCCTGCCGATGCGGCCCAGCCCCAGCACGGCCAGCGTCTTCCCGTTCAGCTCCATGCCCATGTACTGGGGAGTGCAGGGACAGTGAGGCAGCGCACGCCACACGGGCACCCCCTCCCAAAGGTGCTTCACCTGCCTCCTACCTTCTTACGGTCCCACTTGCCCTCCTTCATGGAGGCGGCTGCCTGCGGGATCTGCCTACAAAGGAGGCTGTGGTCAGCGCGGGGGAGGGGGCTGCAGGGCGCCCCTCTGTCCGCACCCTGCCTTGTGCTCACCTGGCCAGGCACAGGATCATCCCACAGGTGAGCTCGGCGGCGCTGAGGCTGTTCCCAGTGGGTGTGCTGGGGATGGAGAGCGGTGTCACTGGTGTGTGTCCCCTCCCCCGGGCTGACGGGGGTCTGTGCGCGCAGGGTGGTGCCAGGGGTGGGGAGGGCACCCTATGGAAGTCTCCCCGGCCTCCCCAGGATGACAGGCACGGATGTCCCCACACTCCTGCTCTTACTTCATGACCAGGACTCCCTTCCTGGTGGCTGCCTCCACGTCCACATTGTCCACGCCGGTGCCAGCCCTGCCCACCACCTGCAGCCTCTCTGCCGCCTCCAGCACCTCGGCCGTGACTTTGGTGGCCGAGCGGACGATGAGCCCATCGCAGTCCTAAGGAGTGACAGACACGGCGAGTGGCACCAGGGCTGCCTGGGTCACGGGATGGGGACAGCCGCTGCCGGGGATCCGCCGTGCGAAACCGGCCGGGCTCTTGCATCAGACGGGAGGCGGGGACCGGTCGAGGGGCTCCGCTGCCACCGAGGACCGCCGGCCTGCAGCAGCGCCCACCCAGCCACCCAGCCACGCGTGGGCGCAGCCCTGCCTCACCCGGATCTCCCGCAGCAGCTCCTCCTTGCTCAGCCCGGGCTTCTCCTGCACCCGGAGCCCGGCGGCCTGCAGGATCTCCCGGCAGCAGGGGTCCAGGCTTTCGCTGATCAGCACTTTCTGCAGCTTGCCCAGTGCCATGACGGGACGGGACGGGGGTGCCGGCTCTCTCCGCACGCCGCCCAGAGGCTGCTGCTGCCCCTCCGCCGCGCTAAAAGACCTGCGAGCGGTGCACGTTTTTCGGGCTCATTGGGTCCCGTCTCCATAATCCCACCTCCTTCCCTTCCCCTCCCCGCCCCAGCCCGCCCGGTCCCCCCTCATCCCCCCCGCCCCCGGGGGAGGAGGGAGGGAGGAGGCGGGGGGAGCGGGGCCGGGGCTGGGCCTTGCCCCCCAGCAGAAAAGGAAGGGGGTGCCCCGCCAGGACCCCGTGGGTTGGAGAGGCACGAAAAGCGGGGGCAGCGTGTCCCGACCCTGCACGCTGCCGTCCGTGCCTCAGTTTCGCCGTCCCGCTTGTCACAGCTCAGTAAAGCAGGAGGGGGACAGCAGTGGCAGCCACGATGGCGCGGGTGGCTCCCCACAAAGCTGGGGGTGCCCAGCCCATGGCGAACCCAGACATGCCCTGCCCCAGGAGTGGGGCAGACCCAGACCCCCCAGCTGAGAAGCGAGGCAGTGCCGTGGCCCCTGCCCATCCCCGATTTCGTGCCTGCTGTTGAGCAATCCCCCTGATAAGGGGCCGGGGACACGGGGCCAGCCCTGGCTACTGGCTCCCAATGCCGTGGGGTGCATGGGAGCCACCCAGCAAACGCCCTCCAGGGGCAGAGCCAGGTGGCCGCGTCCAGTGACCTCTCTGTGGGAAGTGCTGGCCCTGGGACACGATGGTGAGGGGTCCGTGACACAGGGCATGGCACGGGATGCTGCCAGACCTTCACAGGGGACCTGAACCAGATACAGCCCGGATCCTGCCCAGGGAGAGCACGGTCTGACCCTTCCTTCTGCCACCTTCCACACATGGCAGGGTGCGCAGAACCTACCCAGTGCTGCCAGGTCCTGATGGGATCGGGCCCTTCCCCAGGCTCTGCGTGCCCCAGGCAGCAGGTCTGGACCAAACTGTGAGACCTGGGCGATGCTGGAGGCTGTTAAAGCAAGCAGAGCCCAAGTGATGGGCCTGTCCCAGCAGACAGGAGGTGGCCAGAATAGAATAGCTGTTCTCGCCGCAGGTGGAGAGAGCCCAGCCCCGTGGGCACTGGAGCTATGGACAGCCTGGCACCACTCTGCCACAGCCAGGGAACAACCGTGACGCCAGAGCGGGGAAAGTCCAGGGCGGCCGGCTCGGGGTGAGAGATGCGGTCAAGGGCAGCGGCTGGTGAAATCTGCAGCGGTCCCGGCACGGCCCCTCGGCAGGGAGCTGTGACCCGGGGACGGCCACACGGCCACCCGTGGGCTGGGGACTCCCCGGCCTCTGCTGTGGCCATTAGAACCTCGCTCCAGGTGCCCCGAGGACACACCAGCACATACCAGCCCGGAGCCCTGCTCCCCTTGCCGGCACCGCCCGGGGCCTCGGGGGCTCCCCTCCCACGCCTGTGCCACGTTTGTGCCGAGGCCGAGCCATCGCCAATGGGGACAGCGCTTTTGCCGGCTTTTCCCGGCCAGCTGGTGCCCTCTCCTGGGGATTGTGGCCAGCGGCACCTCCCCACGGCACCCCGGAGCTGCCGGGACACTGGGAGTGCTGGCGGGGTGGCTGTGCCAGCAGGCGTGTCCCCCCACTCCTTGGCCCCCAAGGGAGCCAGATGGAGGGGACCCAAGGGCTGGAGGGGACCCAAGGGCTGGAGGGGGACCCAAAGCTGTCAGGAGAGAGGGATGGGTCCAGGGGGACTGTGGCTGTGCTGGCTGATGAGGGTTGAATTGGGGGGATATGTGCAGCATATGTGCAGTAGCCCTCTGTTGCGTTTGGAGTAAGAAATTCGGCAGAAAATAAACCCACCTATGTTCCAGTTGGTCTTCACAGATCAGTGGGCTGGGGACAGCTGAGCTGAGTTTCTGTGTGTAACCAATTTGGCACTACAGGTGTTCGGTAGGAAATTCCACGAGCGCTGCTTCACAAATAGCACAGCTTATTAATTCAACACCATAGGTTTGGTCATATTCCATAAAAGCCATCATACTCACAGATTCATGAATAGTGCAGTGTTTGGAAGCAGCAGAAATACAGAATTGCTGTTGATAAACGCACCAGTTGCAATAGATCTCTAACAATAACAATAATATTGTGTGATGATAATAACAGTTGTATGCAGAAACTTACTGCGAAGGTGTCCCCTCTTTGGAGGAGGGAGAGGAGAGTAGCCCATTCTGTCTCCAAGGTATTTTGGGGTCTTCCTCCTAACCAGGTAAAATTCCTTATATCCAGCCCAAACTTCTCCCCCTACTCCTATAGAGCACAGCCTAAGTGGAGAGTATGGATCTATAAATGTGGCATCATGTGCCATTAAAGCTTATCAGCGTATACAAGGATTGTGTGTTAGTATTTAAATGGCCCTTAATCAGACAAAAGTTACTGGTTTTGGCCACCGTATCCTCCAAATGTCTGACTTTGTTCCATTTGTCAGTGCCAAAGCAGAATTACCCCATCACCACAGGAACTCCTCCTTCTTTCTCCCTCCAGCTCCGTGGTTCTCCATCCCCACAGGTAACAGAGGGTAAGGACAGCGATCCTCAGCCCTCACCTGGCTCCTGGGTCACCAGGCTCTGCTGGCAGGTGTGTGGCCGTGGGGGACAGCTGGCTGAAGGGCTGTGAGGGTGCAGGACAGAGCAGAATCGGGCCAAGCAACAGGGAAATAGGGGAAGGGTCCCTGCAGAGAGAATGGGGCTGGGGGAGGAGTCAGGGGTAGCGCTGGTTTTGAGGTGTCAAAGGGGACTTGGGTTTATTTGAGCTGGGATGGGGAGTGGCAAAGAGGAGGAAAGGGGTGGGGGAGATTGGGGGTGTTTGGTTGGGATGGTGGGTGTTCAAGGGGATTTATGGGGATCAAGGAATGGCCCAGTGGAGGACTGGGAAGTCACGGACAATTAGCAAGCAAGTGAAGGTGTTGAGGGACTGGAACTCATGGGGCTCTGGGGTGGCAAAGGGGATTGGGGCTGTCACGCTGGGATGGAGGCATCCAAGGACGACTGGGCAGGTAATTGGGGTGTCAGGATGGGTGTTTGGGGGTGCCGTGGGGGATCTTGGCTAGTTGGGTGTGTTTTGGGGAGACTGTGAAGTTGGAAGAAGGATTGAGAGGGGAGAGGAAGGGATCAGGGATTGTTTCTGGGGGATTGAAGTGTGAGGGAGGATTTGGGCTCGGTCCAGAGGGACTGGACTGAGTGGAGCAGGGAATTGGGGTGGCTGTGTCAGCCCGGACAGCACGGCGGCTGGAGAGATTAAGGGTGGATGGATGGACAGAGGGATCAGGGAGAGGGCAGAGGGAGGGAGCGGGGAAGGAAAGATGCAGGGATCAGAGGGAGGGATGGAGGGAGGGAAGGAAGGAAGGAAGGATGCGGGGTCAGAAGGAGGGAGGGAAGGGTGCTGGGAGGCAGGGAAAGATGAAGGATGGAGGCCGGGAGAAGGAGGAGGAGGAGGGGAAGCAGAAGCGGGCGGAGCCGGCCGGTGCCGCAGAGCCGCCTCCCCGGCGCACGCTGGGCCGGCTCGGCAGCGCCTGCGGGACCCGGCGGCCCGGCCCGGTGTCCCCGGTGGCCGGCCCGGTGCCGGGCGGCCCGGTGCCAGCCGGCGCGGTGCGGCGGAGCCCGGCGGGGCAGGATGCGAGCCCCGAGGCGGAGGTGAGCAGCGTGTCCGTGCGTGCAGGGGCATCCGCGGCTGGCGCGGCCGGGGCCGTGCGGCTCGGGATGTCCGTGTGTCCGGGCACTGCGTGCGCCCACGCTGGGCTGTGCTGATGCCGCGACAGGTTGAGGCCCAGGTACCCCCGGCCTGGGCGCCGCCGGGATGCGGGAGGGATGCGGGAGAGATGCGGGAGGGATGCGGGAGGGATGTGGGAGGGATCAGCGCGCTCCCTCGGGGCTGTGCGGGGCCGGACGCCCCCTGTCCCAAGTCCCATTCCCTTGGCCGTGGGTGTCCCTTCCTCCCGCTGGTGTCCCGTGGGTTGCGGCTTTGGGCTTGGTGGCTCTCTGGGCCCTGCACCAGGCAAGCCCAAGAGAACTCGGGAGCCGCTGGTGTGCATGAAAGGGACCAGGAGTCCCTGGTCCAGCGCCGTGGGCACGCTGGTGTTCGCTGCCCTGTGCAGGTGTCAGGGCAATGTCGGTGTGCCAGATGAGCGGGCAGGAGCCGTAGGGATGCTGTAGGATCCCGAGCTGGTGCCTGCACCATCACTAAGCTCTCCTCGCTGCGCTGGGCGTGTGAGGTTTGCTGAGAGATGCTGGGCCAAGCACGGCCCCGAGGAAGGGGTCCAGGCTGCCGCTGTCGGTGCAGGGAGCTTGGCTTGCCCCATCTCCCCAGCCCCGTTTCCATCGTCCCCGCTCTTCCCCTGGCTCTGCCCATCCCCGGTTCCACGCTGAGCCGCTGGCCCCACCGATTGTCCCGGCACCTCCCCAGGGCTGCTGGGCCTCGGGAGCCGTGCCGGTGCCACGCCTGCGGTGCCGCCCAGCCCCGGCTCCCCCCGGGCTGCCGTGCTCAATGAGGACCTTGTTGCCGTGCCCCGTGTGCAGGTCGGTGCCGTGCGCTCCGGGCTGTGCTCGCACACTCGGCCGGGAGCTGTCCCCGCTGCACCTCCTCCGTGGTGGCACTCCGCCCCTGCTGAGACATTTGTGCCAACGACTCAGCGGGGAGCTGGGATGTGCCACGCTCTCCCTGGCCTTGCCTGGCCCTTGCCACAGCCCCTCTGCCAGCCTGGAGCCGCTGGCACGCAGAGGCTGAGCACGGGGCTGGGTCCTGCCGTCCATCCCTCCGTCCATCCCTCCGTCCATCCCTCTGTCCATCTGTCTGCCCGCAGGAGGTGATCCAGCAGCAGAAGGAGGTGAGTTGCTGTTGCTGGGTTCTAGTGCCCGGTGCTTTGGGGATGATTTACCCCAGGATGCTTTCCCCATGGGCAGCAGGCACTCTGACACAGCCCCTGTGCCCCGGGCCTGGCTGCCAGCCCTTCGTGGTCCCCACACCCCGGGGTGCCAGTGCTGGCAAGTGGCTGCAGTGGGAGATGCTGTGAGTCACTGAGGGCTCCGAGTCAGGGCCGCGTGGTGCCCCTGGTGCCAGGGCTTGGAGGCACGTGGGGGTGGGTGGGCAGTGCTGCCCGGTGAGTGGGGGGCCCCAGGGCTGAGCCCCCCAGGGCTGAGCCCCCCTCGTTCTGCGCTGCGCCGACAGCTCTGCTCCGTGCTCCGGGCTGGCATGAAAGGGCTCTTGTCCTCCTGCAGCCCCAGCAGCACTGCAGCGGCCTCCCCTTCACAGCAAACAAATTCCCAGTGTTGGGAGGGGGGAGCCCCCTCCCAGCCCAACCAGCCGTGGCTGGCAGAGCCCTGGGCTCCTGCTGGCCCAGCGTTCCCATGGCCAGGCAGGGACTGCCACTCTGGCTGTGTGGGGGTGCTGCCTGGGCAGCTGGACTTTGGGAAAGCGGGGGCTT